GTTTGTGGTGGATGTGGATTTTCGCTGTCACGGGTTGTGATGGGTTTGGGTTTTCTCTGTCCCAGGCTGTGGGGGGGGGGGGTCCAAATTTCTACCCCTAAACACTTCAACACTCCTTTTAGATCGTGTTTCACAAAATCACAAAAGATTATCTTTCTCATGGATCATATGAACTTTTATCTGCGCAAAAAGAGGAGGCTAGCTTTTTGCTAATGTTCATAGCAATATTCGCACTATTGATAATCAAAATACTCTAGAAGTTTTCACAACCTGTTAAACCTAAGTGATTGCTACGGTATCTAATGGGAAAAAGGGCACAAGCTGAAAAACATTAACTCAAACTTGCGGTTACTATTATTTTCTTCAGAAGTATATGTGAGCTATACAATGCTTAGAAAAATAATATTTAGAATAGAAACTAGAAGTTACAAAACTTTAAAATAATATAACCACTGATTTTAATTACTGCCTATTGTTTGTCGCTGTGGGGAGATATAGTGATGTTTTTCCCAGCATCTGGTCACTATGATAGGAGCTGAGAAGCCGTAAAGCCTGAATTTAGACTTGCATTTACTGAATTCTTCGAAAATACTCGTGAGTTTCGCAAAAAAACGAAAAAAATACGAGAATCATAATACAAGACCCTCCTAAAGTTTTTCCGCTTAAACATGATAGAAGACCCCGATCTTTTATTGTAAGGGGGGGGGGGAGCTTTAATCATCTATTGTATGATAATTCCCATTAATTTAGATGACCTAATTGATGGTTCTCCTTATAGATGTCCACCAACTACTCAATGTTAGTGCTTAATATTATAAATGATAGAATAGGAGTGAAAATATCGGGTGAAGGAATAAATACATATGTTTTGGAAAAATCTAGCGTATAAAGCGTTGGTTGGGTGAAGGTAAAATTTGTGGGTGTGGATGAAGCCAAGAATCAGAACCATATTCACATGTAAACCCCCATGCACACCCGCGACAACTCGCAAAGATACCCATACTCACATGCAAAATGTACTTTTCGTATCTCGTTGAGTATTAAACACATTATCAATTTTTCTCTCGAGACTCAGCTAGCTACATTCGTATCTGGATTTGATAAATAAACTTGACATGATCTATATCATTACGTGATTGTGCCATTCCTTTATTTCTTTCTCTAGCTTTTGCTCTCTATATTTGTACAGGTACTTCTTCAATATTTCCTTCTTATGCCTCCGACTTTTGCTGATAAGCTTTGCCGCATGTTGTTGTACCGTTGTGTCGATGAATGTTCTCTAGTAAAATACTAAAGCGAACAGTTGAATGCTCCTAGCCAAACGAATAAATAAGAAATTTTCGATAGTATACATTATGGCATATGCTTTCAAGTTAAGCAGAGCATCCGTGTCATAGGTTACTAGAATTTGAAGGACCTCTACGCCAGAGTCGATAAAACTTAAGCTTTTTTGCGAAACTATTGTTGATGTCGTTCAATGAAAGGGAGCACTTAGCTAACTAACGAAACCATGTATGGCTATCTAGAACATAAAAACGTTCTATATTTGTTATACAAAACTTCCGATAACTGCGTACGCCTTTTCTAATGGTTTTGTGCAAATTGTACGAAACCAATAAGCGTTCCGTTTATACAGCAGAAAAACGCCGTTAGTTCCATCAGTGATGTAATGGTTCCGCAAGCTATGTTATGGTTTCGTATAAATTGTACAAAATCATTACTAGTTCCGTAGAACATCCAAAGATTCCGTAAACGTGACATGAAGCCATCGATAGTTTTGTGAATGATGCAATGATTCGGCATATCTTTTACGGAACCGTGTATAGTTTTGTAAGTGTTGCAAAGGTTCCGAACACATTTTACAAAACCTTTAAGATTTTCGTCATTTATCTGAAGGTTCAGTGTATATGCCACGAAATCATTGGCAGTGTTTCAGAGCATCTGAAGGTTTCGTATTAGCTTTAGGAAAACAATCACAGTTCCAGAATCGTTGTACAAAACTAGTTGTGGTTTCGTAAAAGATATATCGAACCATTACATCATTTACGAAGATATGAACAGTCTCGTATAATACATGCCAAACCATTTGATGTTCTACGAAACTTTTGATAGATTCGTATAAGATGTACGGAACCTATGTTGGTTTCAGGAAACTATCAGCAGTTTCTTAAAACATCAAAAGGTTCAGTATAAATTGTACGCAACTGTTCATAGTTATGTAAACGATGTAATGGTTCAATTTATCTTTTACAAAACCAAGGCTATTTTCGAACAACGCGTCCGGAACTACAAGAGCATTCACGAAATTATGAATGGTTTTGTAGAACTAATACAGAATCTTTAGATGTTCTACGAAACACAGCGTTTTCGTATGAAAGATGCGAAACCACATAAAGTTCAATACACAAATGGAAGGAACTTCTGGAGCGTTTCGTAGTAGAACTTCAAAACCCCTTTCAATTTTCGGAACTTAAAATAGATTTCTAAAATAATACGCAACTCCCAAAGTTCAGTAGAAAACCTTTTTTACAGTTTGAGAAATGCATTGCGACTAGATTAGCAATTTTCAACTTATAATGTTATTTCGTTGCAATTACACACAAGGCAACAGTATAGACACCATTCGCTACTATGAATTATCATCCATTCATAATATAATTGGCACACATAATATAACTGTACGAAGAGTACTTTTCAGTAAATTTTTCTTTTAGAACCACCTGAATATCCACTAGATGATATCAGTAAAAGCGAAATGGAATCAATGCAAAAAAAACAGGCAGAATTGCGCGCCTACTACGACAACTTTCCGGATATTGAAGAAATTACGAATCAAAAGGCGCCAAATATACAAAAAGCTGAAGCATTTACACAATCTATATTATCTGAATTACCTTCAGGAAATGTGACTCAGCGAGATACAGCATGCCATGTTTTATTCCATCTACTTGGAAATGAAAAACAAGACTGTCTCTTTTTTGATTCTAGACAAGGTGTTAGTCTAAATGATGCATCTGGGAATTTAGTTGATCTTAGCTTTCAAGATAGACCATTTGTTTTAAAAGTAAGTGATATCGATGGTCTCGGCAATCAGAAATTTAAAAAGGATGCACAATACGATATGAAACTTATTAAAACATTGGATCGTGTGATTCAACAGAATCAAGCAGATCCAATTATTGATGATTTACTTGAAAGATTATCTAAAGCACATCATATTGATAAAAAGAAAATTACTTTTAAAATTGTGTACTGCGGATCCTTTTGTGTAGTTTATACCGTCACCGATTTAGCCACAAATGTAATTAGAACACTCACAGGCATTGAAAGCAAGCTAAGAAATCAATTTAAACAATTTGTAGCTGCAAAAATTCATCCACTCTTATATCGTCCGTCATTCGACATATCGCATTTCGACGAGCGTGGAAATAAAACTTTTACTGGTCATATAACCACATTTGAGGTTGGACCATTTGGAAGAACGAAAAATTATACACAACCAGGTGGTTGGACAAGATATGGATTGAAAGTATTAGGTAAATATAAGAGTGACGAGTGGCTAAAACCGTTTGGACATCCTGGAAATTGGTATAGAGCATATCATGGCACAGGAAATGCAACAGCTGATGATTTTGGTAGTTCTGGAGCTGCATTTCATAAGCAATTTGCACCAGTTGATGCAGCTGCTAGTATATTTGAAAAAGGCTTTCGACCAGCTAGAGTCAACCGTTACGGTGATGGTGTATACTGCTCTCCAAATCCGACTTTTCCGGAAAAGAGCTTTATTCGTGAAATTGAATTAGATACGAAGCAAGGAAAGAAGACCTTTAAATGCATGTTGATGGTAGCTGTAAATCCTGATGGCGTCAAATTTGCTACCAATGACATATGGGTCGTCAAATCTCCTGATAATATTCGAACTTATGGAATACTCATAAAAGAAGCTTAAGTCGTAACGATAAATGGTTGCACCTTGTAACGAAAGAGAACTCGATTACTACGTGACTGATCTTTATTTTATTCCTGTAACTGTCTCAAATCCACTTTTAAGACCTAATTCTATATAAACAAAAACAGTTTGTAAAACTAGGAAGTACGAAAAGAACCATTTTCTTTCAATTTCATCTTTTTTTATTCTGCGGTACAATCGAAAATGGCCCATTTTGCCATTTTTATGCCACCGTAGCTGATGTTTTTGCGTCCTAACTTGTTGATTACACTCTAGAACCGGTTACTGTATCCGTCCAGCCGTTTACATGATAACTTTCGAAACGAGAGTCCATTCGTGATGAAATTTTCTACATCATTTTGTCTGAACAATATCTCAATCAAGTTCGAAGATGAGAATGATTTACCGAGTCATTGCCGAGTTATTGCAAAAATAGCCATTACTCCCTG